TGGATTTAAATTTATGGAGGGTTTAAATACAGAAATGTAAAGCTTATTATTGTATAAATAAAGTCTTTGTTAAAACGTGTGTATTATTTAAGCTGTGAGCTTTTTCAAATTTATGGTCATTAGTTGACCCAAGAATCAAGAATTTACTCACCTTCATGTCATTCCAAACCTGCAAACCTTCTTTCTTTTGTGGAATATATATATATATATATATATATATATATATATATATTATATTTCTACACCTCAATTAAGCAGTGATGCAATAGGACACAACAAATTACAACGTTCCTGTCATAATGTGTTCACATTAATTCTCAATGTGAATTGAAGATTTATAGTGATTTGTTGGTGATGCGACAGAGCTGAACAGGGTTTTTCTTTAAACACAACCTATCTAAAATAGCAGTACAGTTCTGACCCTAGAGGTCAGTCATAATTTGTTTTGAAAGGTCACCTATTAAAGGGCTTCCCCGGCCGTCCGGTGGGGTTTGGAGAAGACAGCCATCTCCTCTCATGCTGATAGCGCATTACCTCACGTTTAAAGATCGACCCCCCCACCCCACACACACACACACACACACACACACACACACACTCATGCTGGTAACAGGTGGACGCTGGGAAATGAATTTACTTAACGGAGTGGAAGTGGCAGCTGCGTGCACTCACTGAGGGCTGTTATTTAAAGGCTCAGAGTGACATTATTGGCTGCTTATTAGCGCTTTTGTGTTTTGGCTCATTTTAGGGATGGTTTTTATGTGTGTTTGGACGTTATGGCTGTTTGTGAGGTGTGTATGTTGTATCAGAAAGCTCATGAGGGGATGACCAAGACTGTTGGAGCTGTAGCTCCTGTTGTGTCTCTTACTTTGCTCCTCAGGAATCCCTCTCTCTCAGCTGTGTCTCGGGTGTCCTGTGACATCCACATTTAGACATCGTCACCCCTCCTCCATCAGAGCTTGCTTCCAGCCTTCCTGCTCTGCCTCCTTTCCCCCTTTCCATTTCCCCCGTCGTGTCTCTTTCCGTCCCTCTCCTCTGTT